GACAGAAACAGGTGCGCTTGGTATTTCACAGTCCCCACTAGTAGGAAGCAAGAAAGTAGAGTTCTATTTGATTTATTGTTACAATACCTGTGTTGTTAAATTGACACTAACGATGAAAACCTAGACCATTTTACAACTGTATAGCATTTTACAGTTTACAAAGCATTTTGAGTAAATGCCTTTTTTCAACCTTTGAAACTTCTTACCGAAATCCGAATAACATGCAGAAAGCACTTGCGGAGCTTGGCATGCGATGTGCTGAAAGCACACGGAGGTGTTATATTTTATTTCAGTGTGTGGCTGATGTTTTTGATTTATTTTAGTGCATTATAGGATTTCCAGATTGGACATTGCCTGGTCACCACTCTTCATGTCCCATGAGGTCAATGAGACCCACATGGCCCTCGGCTGAGGTCAGGCAGCTGGTGTGAAACTGCTCCCTTAGCCATACCTACCTCCTAAAACCAGACTGTGCAACGTGAAGAGCAAAGAAAACGCGCTGTGTTCACCAGCACGCTGAGCTGCAGTGCTGCATTTGCCTCCTTACTGACCCCTAAGGTTGGGGCTGGGCCTGTCCCTTTAAAAAGGAAAAAAAGGCCTGTGGGTAGGGGGAGCTCCTGACTGCGGCACTGAGCCCGCTGCGGTGGCAGTCACGCTGGAGCCTGCTGATGGCACAGAGTGAGAACAAAGGCACGCAGGCCGTGATGCTGACGGCCACCAGTGAGCGTGGAGGATGCAGCCAGATGACAAGGGCGACGCGGCAGTGAAGACGCGGTCGCAGGCGGCGGCCCCGCCTCCGCGGAGGGTTGGGACCGGTGGCTCGGGTGCTGCAGCTGCGTGGGAACCCCGGGGAGCACTTTCCTGAAGACGTCGGCCTCCGGGAGAGGACGAGAGGACGGAGAATCTCCCCAACGTGTGTGCGGCTGTGAGTAACGAGTTCCTTACAAAACGTACGGTCTGGGCCGCTGGCTGGGGTCTGCGGGTGACGCGCCGCTGCAGTGCGTGGGGTCCGCGTGGGGAGGGTGCTCAGACCCGCCGCCCCGGCGTTCACATGTCCCCCCGGCTGCGGGGTCCGTCACCGAGGGTCTACTGCTGCAATGGAGAGGGGGGTCAGGAGTCTTGCTGGATAATGCAGTGGGATTCTCGAAGCAGCTTATGGTTGGTAGTCATCGTCCTCATTCTAAACAGGGTGTCCTCAGCTGATTGCATGTATTACAGTTATATAATCATATTTGAAACTCCTGCTTTTAGTTAAAAACATTTTACTCATTTAATTTTATTCTGATAA